CTTAAGTATGTACTTAACATACTTAAGTATGTACTTAACATACTTAAGTATGTACCTAACATACTTAAGCTTAAATACGAGGCTTAAGTACGTATGTTAACAAGTATGCTAAGTAAGTACTTAAGGGAGTTTAAGTACGTCTCAAGTCACGTAATTAAACTCAAGTATGTTAAGTACGTACTTAAGGGTAATTAGATTCTACGAACGAACGAACGAACAAACGAACATGTTCGTAAATTCTACGAACGAACGAACGAACAAACGAACATGTTCGTAGATTCTACGAACGAACGAACGAACGAACGAACATGTTCGTAAATTCTACGAACGAACGAACGAACAAACGAACATGTTCGCATACGAACGAACGAACGAGCGCTCGTTGACCGCTCTGATATCACCTTCGATAGAAACGATGTGAGCACTTGAAATTGATTAAATGAACGAAACCGAACAATGCCACCACCATAAAAATTGAATCGATTTTATCGCTGGAACAATTAATGTTTTCGAAAAAAGAGCCAGAAGAACACAGGCAACAGCAATCACTTTGTCTACGCGAGAGCGACAAGAAATAATCACTAAATGAAAGCTAACAAAGTTCACACCTTTTACGAAACACACTGTTTACTTTGCCAATTGACTGGTGGTGCTTGTCATGGCAAATATAGTGTCAAATTATCCGCACGAGCGATGGAGTGAGAGCAAGAGAGCAAGAAAGCAAGAGAGAGAGAGAGAGAGAGAGAGAGAGAGAGAGGGAGAGAGAAACGAGCAACGACAATTTGCCATGTTAATGAAGTGTCGATTTTAAAATGCAAATTGTGATTTTATAATTAGTTAAAAACCAATTAGAATATCCATAAAATGGGAATATAAACCCCAATTGATGTGCTCTCGATGTGACATGCTCAACGCAATTCAGACTTGTGGAATTATTTAATTATTTCCATTTTACAGGAGGCAGAAAAAAAAACCCAAGCCTCATCAATTGAATTTTGGAAATACGGTGGCAACGTGATGGTAAAAAATTAATCGAAAAAAAAACCTCGTTCTAATTACGTGTGGAATGAACACATGGAGGTTGGCAAAACTCACATGTCACGTGATTCGAAATGCAATTTTTCCGTTCAAACTAATTTGCGCGGAATTCAATTGGAAAATGCATTCCAGAGTGGCTCGGCCATAGAAAGTGTCAACTTTTCCCAAATCAAAAAAATCGTTCGCACTCTTATTCACATGAAAACTTGTTCAAAGTATGTTGTTATTGTTGAAATCACTTTAATCGAACACAATCAACCGCGCGCACGAATAAAAAAAAATTCCCTCTTACCAGCCGCAAAAAAAAACGTTGTTACGAAATCATTTCTTGAGAGACGAAACCGCGCACAGAATTCGGAACGAGAAGTGTGGAAAAAGTACAGTGTCACACAAGCGATTAAGATCAAAAATATCGAATCGTCGATGTGCGCACAGCACACGGTGTGACCAAATGGCCCATACATACATGCTTGAAAAAAAAACGCTTTAGCGCAACTGATATATACCAACGATAACACACAATATTTCATGCGATATGATCAAGTGCGCATTTTCACACCTCACCTGAAATGAGTGTGATGAATGCTTGAGAGCGACCGAACGAACAACAACAACGGGAAAAGAAATAATAATGCACCCATACTTAAAGGCAATCTCTTATCTCGCGACGTTCATAATCATCATTTGACTATTTGAGAAAATTACTTTGTACACCTGCACACACTATATATATACCGATTTTACCGAGAGAGAGAGAGAGAGAGAGAGAGTTCGCGCCAACGCTAACAAGCGAACGACTGGACCACTAACAGCAAGTAATTCACGCACACAAATTGTTAACCGCTTAAAGTAATTATCACAAATTTTAGCTGTGTCGTTATAACAATAACAACAACAGCAACAAAAACAAAACAAAAATATATATTAAAACAATATGCAGCGTTTTTTTCTTCTTCTTCTTCTCTGTTTACACCACTTAGAAGTGTCAGCTAGACACACAAACCAACGTACACACAATTCTTACACTTATCGTCGTTGGCCACCGAGAAAAGCGATGAAGAAAATAAAAATAAACTACAAAAAAGTGTACGATTCGAGCACAGGTGAATACAAGCAACATCTAATCTCGAAGAAATCGGAGTATGAGTTGAACAACTTTAAACATTCATTTCAAGTTCTATTTTTTCCACACGCGCGCACATCGAACATGCACACACATAAACGCTGGCTCGCCCATGTCAATGCTATCAGTGCGAACCGAGTGTTATGTTTACATTTATTTTCAATTATTATTGTGTGTACATACTGGAATCCATTGAATTTCAAGCGATAGGTTGACGTTTACTTGGATAAAGGATCACACTCAAAAACCCAAAGAGAGGAGAAAAAAAGCCATTTTTGTCACGTCAAATTTTGATCAGAGACTCGTTTCTCCGAAATTGTAATAGCCAGTTGGAAGCTACAGGGTAAATTAACGCCTTTCAAAGTCGAAGCAACTGCCTTTTTTGTTTTATCGTTTTCTAAGTCTCCGCAGCTGCAAAAACGGAAAAATTGTGAAATTCAATAATAATAAGCTAATTTTAATCAATCTTGAACCGTAATTACGGGAATAACTCCAGCGATTTGTTGCATTTCGTAACGGTAAATGGTGTGTTTCGCTTGATTGTTGCAGGTTTTTCATTTCATTCGTTCATTGTAATGGTTTCGTTTAATGTTTCACAAAAAAAAAACGGTTGATCAGACGGATGGCCAATCACAATTACACACACGTACACACAAAATAAGTTAACGAGAAGATTTGCATGCATTACAAACTATAGTTTGATGATAACTATCATCACTGAATATGCTTACCGTGTATTGAACATTTTGATTTCAATCGAATAATAATTGCCTTGGAAAATGTTGATTAGATCAGTATATTAGTTAGGTATATGAAAATCCACCCGAAACGAACGAACAGGCATCGACAACGGTAAACCACACAAATGCTTTCAGTATACCACCATTTGCATAGTGTCACAAAATTCAACTGAAAATCCATTTGAGAGTGAGAAAAGACAATTGCAATTGCTCCAGGTTGACACTTCGAATATTCAATTGTGGCGATGGCAGCGGCGGAGGCAGCAGCATTGTGTTGTTTGCCATTTAATTTGAATATATTTTTCTATTGTTTGCCGTTTGTGCCATTCTTAAACTCAATGTGTAAGTATTTCATAAACAAAAGTCAATATGAGGCCCAAGCCAAGTGGGTTTTGTACAAATACGTTTTTGTTCACATTTCAATTTAAAGGCTAGAATTCATTGAGTCACGTCGTCGTCAAAACGGCAGAAGGTAGAAATAAAAGAAAAGAACATTGTCGATGTCGGATGTTATTTGACTTCTGTATGTTGTCTCATTGACTGAGACGGTTGAATTTGGAAGATCTTGGGCTGTCTGATGACGATTCCGGAGACGATTTAGCGATGGAAGAGGATGCGGAGGCAAATGAAACTCAATTCAAACCAATGGCAAAGCACAATCGGTCGAATTTGGAAGATCTTGGGCTGTCTGATAGCAATAACAGACAGCGATTTGATTCGGATATGGATGTGGACCAACATTCAATTGAAACCCAGTTTGATGAAAGCCAGCGATTTGATTATAATTTTGATATAAATGTGGACCAACATTTAATCGAAACCCAGTTTGATGAAACCCAGCAATTTGATAATGAACATTTAATTGAAACCCAGTTTGATGAAGAACTAGCAGCAGAAAAGACTCTAACACCGGAAAAAGTCGCAGCCTCAGCACTGGTACCAGCCGATCTTGTTGAGCCCGTAGCTCATTCGTCAAATGCTCGTACGGAAAACTGTGAAGCTGCTGACACAGCAGCGGACACAGAGGGTGCACCATCGATGGGCTTTCGATTCGATCCAGCTGCTTTGGTATTCGACGTAACGAAACTGGAGCAAATCGATCCTGCACTACATCATCTCTATATTCAGCCTGAGATTGATGTATTTGCAGCACCAGAACGGAAAAATTTCCCCAACTATACGCTATTCATATACGATTCTTTGCACAACCCTGCATTAATTGAATTGATGAAGAGCAAAGACACACATTCGTTAATGGCATTGGAGAGTATCAATCGCAACAAAATCTTTTCAGGTCGCCTTGAAAATTTGTCAAAACCACCGACCGAGTACATAACCACACAATATAAAAAACTTAGTGGGCAAGCACCTGGTTTCAAATTCAGACGAGTCAAAGAGCCAGTTGCCGTCGATGGTTATTTTTATTCAAAAAAAAATTTGGTGGAAATTGCTTTTTTTCTTGAACGAAGAACCCTTTTTTTTTACGTATGACCAGATGAAAGTACAACCATTTGAATTCCATTTAGTTAGGGCAAACTGGTCTGCATTCGATGAACGGGTGTTTAGTAGTGTCTTCAAAAACCAGTACACCAACAGATTAAGATATAAACTCGGATTGTTACGTTTAGATATAGATAACAAAATTTGGAATTCAAAGAATATGTCAAGTTGCTTTATGTACACACACAGAATAAGAAAGGTTGGAATACATGAATCCAAAAAATTACAATTTGGGTTGAATTCAAATGGTATTCATTACAGTATGGCAGAATAAAAAAAAATATATTCAAGAGAAATCAAACTAATATTTATTTTTTTATTTCACACCGCCAAAAACTAGGTGGATATTTTGGTTTGCAGGAAAACGACTCCAAGAGTCGTGAAAAACCTGATCTTTTCGTGTTTGTACAATATATTATTTTTATTATTATGAAATCAAATTACGCGCGCATGTTTAGCATGTGTCAATTTCTCGATATAGTATAAGCAAATATTTTCCTCCTGTTCTAAATCTCCAGTCTTGACAAGGTTTAATGCCAGTCGTTCTATCTTAGAATTTGAATAATATAATGCCGAATGTAAACTGGTGAACCATTTCTGTAAAAATGCTTCTATAACTCGATCGTTGTGGTGGGTGCAAGGAATTGAATATAAAGCGCACTGATATCCTAAACTTTCTAACTTTTTAATCAAAGCATAAGCCTCACTGTTACTGTTTTTTGTTTTTTTTCGGACAGAATGGTTCACGAAACGAGTGTCTGGATCATTTGTATTACCTACATATATGTTAAATGCCACGATAAGGCAGATGGCCAAATCGGATTTCAATGACAAACTTAAATCAGCCGGTTTAATTACTGTCAACAAATGGTCAAATGCGCATTTTAGTAGGATCATATACACATTTTGATGATATTTTTCTGGCTCATTTTCCACATCGTACTCTTGCTGCAAGTCTATCAGGTGTTCGTTTTCACTTATGCTGCCACCGTACTTGGCTGAAATGAGAAATAGTAAGTAGAATATGTCAAACATAGCTATGTACACTTGAGGTTTCCACATTTTTTGAATGAAATAGACTAGGGGTAGA